ATGTCATACTTCGTTGCAGCTTTGCAGCTGTCCAGCTAGCTCCATCACTGGATGGCAAGGAAGGAAGGAAGGAAGGAAGGAAGGGTGTATGTGTGAGTACGAAGGGAGAGAGAGAGAGAGAGAGAGAGAGAGGGAGAGAGGGACAGTCTAGGTAGGCATTCGTGTGTGCGTTAAAGAGAGGGGATGTATGGACGTCTGTGTAATTTGTGTCTGTCATTTTCTTATGACATGAGGGCTTGCAGCTCTACATAAAGAGGTGTATGTAGGAAGATAGTAGTGAGAGGACATGTTTGTGCAAGGAGATCAACAGACTATACGACCAGTCGTCTGACATTCTGTTGTGGCGTTGTCAAACGATGACTGATCACGATCGAGCGGATATATAAAGATAAAGCATCCATGTATGTATGATGAATAGGTGAGAACGGCACGAGTAGTGATTCAACTACTGATTGACTGACATGATGCATACATACTCTACACATACATGAGAGCTTGAAGATCAGTCTTCGACGCAACTTGTTCAGCGGTCCATTTCGGGCTTTCCAGAGCCCTTTGTAACCTGTAACATACGATGGTTTTGGAGGCGTTCGAGAGAAGTTTTTTACAGTGTTGGTTCATGACAGAATGGCAGCACGAAGACCAATCTCTGCTGCGACCCGTTCGGCCGTCCATTCTAGTCTTTCCAGATCCAGTCTCTGCAGAGCTCCATTGAACCTGCAAGATTCGGTAACTTTGGAATAATCCAAGTGAAGTCTTCTTACTCTGTTAGTGATGGCAGCACGAAAGCGTGAAAACCAGTCTCTGACGCTATCTATTCCTCGCTCCATTTCAGGCTTCGGGAAGCTTACAGATCCTCTTTCTTATAAATCTACTCATATACTGACGCGAATTGAACAGTTGTTGAGTAAATGAATAGTGACGCTGATGAGGCATTGAATACTAATGTGTATAAAGCAGAAGGAGCATGTCGGACTCCAAATCACACGTTTTCTGTACCTCGTCTGCGGCCGAATTAGGCAAGACAAATCACTCATTGCAACTGAGTTATATCGCTATCCAACAGCACGCCACAGATATGCAGACGATGTCTACAATGTCAAATGCTCGGCCGAGGGTATCACCATCCTTGGCTGCCCTCTTGGCACCACACCTTTCGTGCAGCGTTCCCTCGAGAAGATCGTCAGCGATCACAAGCCGCTGCTCGACGCGATTGTAACCTTCTCTCAGATGGGCCTGCATGGATCTGGCTTGCTTCTCCGCTATTGCGCGTCTCCCCGGCTGAACTACTGGCTGCGCCTTCTCCCCCCACACACCGACTTTCCCCTGCCAGCCGCCGAGAAACATGACGCCGCTATCATCACGACTTTCAGGCGCATGTTTCGCTTCCCCGGCGACTTTCCCAACTCGATGTCTGCGCAAGTCCAACTGTCTATTCGGCTGGGGGGTTTCGGCCTTATCTCTGCAGTTTCGATCGCTCGCGCCGCCTATGTGGGATCAGTCGCGGCCACCACTTTTGATGTCTCTAGCCGCTTCCGCGGAGCCCGTTGGATGTTTCAAGGGGGAGCCTCCGCCCTCCTTGACCTGCCCTGGCTTCAAGCAGCAGCTTCTGCCCTCACAGCGCTCTCGGCGGTGGTCGGCCCCTCTTTCTCTCTCCCCTCCCTCCAGGACCTCATCTCAAAACCGCAGGTGCGCTTGCAACATCGGCTGACCGACCAACTTCACAAGGCCCGCTTCAACGAGCTCTTCAACTCCCTCCCGCCTGAAAGCAGAGCCCGCGCCCGTCTCTTGAGCTCCAGGGGCCGCTCTCGTCTGGCTGGCTGTCAGCAATCCCTTCCAGCGACCACAAGACACTGAACAACTTCCAGTACCGCCATGCCGTCGCCGAGTGTCTCGGCATTGCCCTCCCGCACGCAATCGTCACGCAGCGATGCACCTGCGGCGGGGAGGTTGACGAGTTTGGCGACCACTATTTTCTCTGCCATACGGGCGGCGAGCGGATCTTGAGACACAACAACATGCGCAAGCTGTTTTTTCGCGTTTTGGCGGAAGCAGACGTGCCGTCCAACGTGGAGGCGCCCCTGCACAGCCTCGGCATCACCCCAACCGACGACAGCCCCAACAGGCAGCGCATGGACATCTACTGCGTGATCGACGGACATGACTATCTCCTCGGTGTCACTATCACCTACCCCTGCCGACCTGACGCCTCCACTATCCCTTTTCACCGGACGGTGAACCGGCGCGGCGCGCAGCTGCCTGGTGGGAAAGCAGCAGGACTGGCGGAGAAGGAGAAGATCGACAAGTATTGTCCTGCCGCCCGTGCAGCCGGCTTTCGGTTCGTCCCTCTCGCGACGGAGACATTCGGCAGATGGGGAGAGAAGACGATGGATTTCCTGAAGATGCTGGCCAAGCGCAAGCCCCGCCCCACTTCCATCCCCGCCGATGAGGACGGAGCTTTCCGCGAGAGTGTCATCAAACATTGGAGCCAACTCCTGTCCGTCGAGCTTACGAAGCACAACGCGTTCCAGATGGCCAGCCGAGCGCAGCGCGCCGCAGCCGCCAGAGGTCCTCGGAGGGCCCACGCCTTCCCAGAAGACTTTGTCAGCCGCGGGCCATACAGGCCCCACACCATC